ATTCAGTTATCGGTTAGTAATACTTCTTTTACACAATTTTAGCCTTTTGCAATTTCGGGTGTATTTATAATGTCAAACTATATTTGGATTAAATACCAAAATCCCAACGAAAGATTTTATATGACATTAGTGAATAGAAGGATACAGTACATTGTTTTGTCTAAGGTTTTAGAAAGATTAGTGATCTACAACTCCCAGAGATTGTAGAAGATAAGATAATCACTGATAAGACAGGCACAAGACCACATGAGCCCAAGATAAGCCTAGTGATAAGATCAGCGGCATGACCACATGTGGCGGTCCCTGGCGGGGTGGTCGGTAAGCCAACAGAAAACATCCCTACAGTATTACCCACAATGCCATCGCCATCGGACCACAGCGACTTGCAGGATTTTGACAAACACATAGAGCAAAGGTTTAAAACCTCAAACATTGTATATAATATGTTTAGTGTTACGGCTGTTGCTAAATCAACGAACAAATAGAAAAAAACCTCCCCTCTATACGAGCACAATATTCAAAACTGTCTTTATCCTATCCGTAAGGATTACAATTCATGAGGGAGTACGTTTGGTTTATGCACAATACATAGTTATTACTAAACTATTACGTAAGGTTTGGTATTTATTTTTAAGGTACAGTATACATAAGTGGGACCGAAATATTTTAATAAGACTACTATACAACGAGATACGGATTGGTATATTATAGAACATAAATATTAGTAAAGGAAAATCTAACATATTATAGTCCTTATAGTTATTATAGACTTAAGATTATTGTAAATGTTAATTAATATTTTTAGTCACCACACATTTTCAAATAAATTTATAATTTACATTATTTTAACACATTGGCTCTTAACTATTGTAATCCAAAACTAACCTAATCAACCACCAAGCCTGGGTCACACAATTGATAGACTTCAAGATGACCGCCCTATAATTAAATTATATTTTTTTTAGAAACAAAAATTGCGACAATGTAGGGCAAGAGTACATACCACATACGACTGACCGGAACCCTCTCCTCTCTGAGGTCATTAAACATGTACAACCCGTCACATCCGCCCCGGCGTCTCTGCCTATTTTTGGCTGATTTTAGCTTTAAATTCCACAAGTGTTGGTAAAAAATAAACTTGAAATTTAACAAAACTGTTATAATTATTAAATACAAATAATATTACTGAGTTTTACAAATGTCTTTTGTAGGTTCGAATAATGTTTGGTTTAAGTTACCACAAAATCGGTTCTACGATTTTTTAACCAGTTATTGTTTCTATCTGTATGTTGATTAAATAAATAGAATTGTCTATATAGTTCGAGAAGAACCTTAGCTCGTAGGAAAAAATTAAATCTACGATTAAAAAAAAACAGATTTACTTATCCTACCATACAAATTAAACTACTTATTGAATCTAGGGGTACATTAGAATTCATCCCTTACAGACCCAGCCAACAAGGGCGGTCTGCCCCTTACAAGGGATGTTTGGCACGAACTCTATCTTGTGAATGTAGTAATGACTGTCTCGCGTACACGCCCTTATCGTGTTAACATAAACTATAAGTGAAATGGACGGTCAAAGATATTTTGAATCACAATTAATTAGTTGACAAATGTATTACAAACTGAACTAACAAAATTATTAACATACAACTTAAGAAATCAATGATGTCAAGAATATCCAAAACGCAAATGACCATTAATTAAAAGGCATTATGTTTCAACGGTTTTTGACAGATTTTATAAAGTACCATAATAATAATTAATCAAAACAACCGAGACTTCTGGAATCAACTTGAGACTACTATAGGTATAGATTTAGGCTATAGGTATAGGTATACTATAGGTTTTTTGTGAGTAATAGAGGTATTGCCTTGATTCAGATTAAGGAATTTCTAACGAGTAACTAACTTAGAAATAGTGTGAACTAAAGTCCCGCTAATCGTTTTGGCAGTTCAGGTACTAAAACACGACGAACTGGTTAATCGTATTTTTGTTCATTTGATACTATAAAGGCTACTTTAGATGTATGGTGTGAATGTTTCGGATTTTAGAGCGAACTCGATGATCCAATGAAACATTCTTTTGAACACAAAACACAGACACCTGAGATATTTCACAATCCTCTTACGTAAGAACACCGCCTTGCCAGACACAACAGACATGACAAGACATGACAGACATGACAAGACATGACAGACATGACAGGCAACAAGTCATGACTGTAGGGTTTGCCGTAATGAAGTGATAATTTGAAAATTGCAAGTGTGGACTTGCTGAACACCCTTGTTAGTAGAAAGTCCTCGGTTCCTTAATGAAGTCAGAAAACCTCTAACAGAACATATGACAAGTGACAACATAGTTGTAGTAAGTCAAGGTATAAAGAAGTGATAAATTTTTGACCGTGAAATAAAAACAAACAGTATCACGTCTTAAAAAAACATAGTTAAAAATCGGTAGTTTTACGCACTGAATGAATAGGTAATAATTAAAGGTTCTAAAAAGTTCTAAAGGATTGAAAATGTACAGTTATACCGTAAAACTAAGCTTTTAAAGTTTTGTTTTCATAAACAATTTCAAATGAAAACTAAGCTACCATTATCAATGTGTGGACCATAAGTCATGGATCATTCCATAGATTGCCCCATATGATTAAACGGTTATCATTGACCACTCTGTTTGTTATCAGTTGATAAAGACAATTGGCTCCCGCTGTGGATTGTAACATATCGACCAATCGACCAACGGAGATAACTTATAGTGACCAAACAATATCTGAAGGTAACTGGGAGCTACAATTCCAACAGGTCCTCCATCAATGTCACTCCCACAACTCCAGTACAACCTGTTCCCGATGTTTACGACGGTACAATGTAACTGTTAATCAGATAGGAACAGTTACAGCGACCAAAAAATATCTGGAGGTAACTGGGAGCTACAACTCCACTGGGTCCTCCATCAATTTCACTCACACAACTCTAGTACAACCTGTTACCGCTGTTTACGACGGTACAATGTAACTGTTAATCAGATAGGAACAGTTACAGCGACCAAAAAATATCTGGAGGTAACTGGGAGCTACAATTCCACCTGGTCCTCCATCAATGTCACTCCCCCAACTCTAGTACGAGCTGTTCCCGCTGTTTACGACGGTACAATGTAACAGTTAATCAGATAGAGGAACAGTTACAGCAACCAAGAAATATCTAGAGGTAACTAGGTGATACAATTCCACCGGGTTCTCCTTCGATGCCAATCCCACAACTCTAGTGCGACCTGTTCCCTCTGTTTACGACGGTACAATGTAACAGTTGGTAATCAGATAGGAACAGTTACAGCGACCAAACAATTTCTGAAGGTGACTGGGAGCTACAATTCCAAAAGGTCCTCCATCAATGTCACTCCCACAACCCTTGTATTACCTGTTCTTACAGTACACGACCGTGAAAGTAACATGTTTGGTAAACCTGTATAATAAAATGTTCCATAAATTAACGCCACGACAAACGAGCACGAATGTCTCCAACATCGTCGACAACGTGTTCCCAGCAAGGTAACATTGTAGTAGTGGCCAAATCGTTGTTTAATATGTTGAGTAACGTTCGGGCGGGGATATCGGCACCAGCTGGGTCATTTATCTAATCAAAGGAACCTAATAAATCTGCGGGGGTTTGGTAGCGTCGTAAATTACGTATAGACGAGCCATATGCAACATTAGCCCAAGTCTGCTGAGCCGGAGCCAAGCTTGCAGGTTGGCCCTACTGTAACACCTGTGTGTAGTGGTAACTCTGGTACCAGCTGTGCTAACATTGTGGTACAAAATGGGTACTGGTGTAGTTGATATCAAAGTGATAGAAAATTGCAAGCTTAACAAATCGAACGTTTTTGACAGTGTTAAGAACTTGACAGCGACCCTTCGTAATTTTATTCCGGGTCCTCTTTCTAAGTTTTCAAGGATAACAACTTTATATAGCAATCAATATGAATTGCTTGGTAAAATGTCATTGTCTCATTATTATAGGTTGATAGGTAAATTCAAGGAAAATGTACAAAAAATATACGATAACCACCTAGGACCGATGATTCCTTACGATCGAATAATCTAAAATATTTTAGACCCACCTGACTACGCACACAGTTATAAAAACATTCAACAAAAGTTAGAATCAGAATTACTATTATAAATTTACAAAATAGTTTTCCAAATAATACGTAGCCTGAAACTCTCTAAAAGGAATTTGAACTCACGTGGGAAATAAGCTTAAAAGTAAAGCTTTTCTTCTTCGTTTTTCCTACTTTGAACTCTGAGTAATCTCCTTGAAATATAAGCGTAAACAGATTATGAATGCAACATGTGAGGGAAAATACTAAGAACTGATGTCGTTCACTACCTACTTCCTACGCACAGCTTCTATAGGGTTCTTGCGTGTAAGGTTGCGAGGCTTTTTAAAGAAATGATTCCTAACAACACTTAATATATGATGAATAAATACATGTTTAACATACATAATACTTGAGTAGTTAAGGTCTAAACAGTACAATAAAATCAATAAATAAATACGGTATAATGATAACCTGAAAATTCTTATGCGTCATCCCTTTAATAACCTATTGAAAAGAAGATTTTTGGACGACAATAGGAAATTATAGTTCTTAAACTTTCCTACCTGGCACGTGATTGTTCAAGTTCCGAAGAGGATTTCTGTGAAAGTGACTTTGAAAAAAGCATATGACCATTTTAAGCATGAAGTTGTATATGCAAAAATCGATGGAAATGGAACGTGGGAAAATTCGTCATTATTTTAATACCACCCCTATACAGCATCGCATTTCCTTCAGTAATTATGCTCTTATGGCTGGCATAGACCAAATTTTTTTGGTTTTATAAAAAATTCCGTAATTCCTGCCAACATAAGTCTCGTCTAGTATAGCTTCCTGAAAATTCCAGGGAATTGCCAGTTTCTAATCTATGGATGTTTGAATTGTAGTACGCCTACCTGATCGCCATGCTCTTGGCCTTGAGGTGGTGCCATCTCTGGTTCATCTCGTCCAGGCGACGCTGCAGCATGACGGCGTCGTCCTTGGAAGGCAAGGAGCTGAGTAGCTTCCTGCCGCTGCCGTTGAGCGCCGCGTACACATCCTTGTGTCCTTCTATCTCACTCTGCAGGTCCTGAAAAAGGATAGCTCCGTCAATAAGTGTGAAGAACAATGGAAAGGATCGACCCTAAAAGAGGATAGCTTTATCAATGGTTCTACAACAACAGGGGAAAGGCTCTTCCTTGCAATAGCATAACTCTGGAGCAATAGTGGAAAGGATCTTTTGACAAACCGTTCACATATCCTGGGATGGAGGTGTAACTAATCAGCGGAGGAAATAATCTTCCGACAACGTTTTCACATGTTCTAGGAGAAATGAGAACGAAGATGCAATGAACTATAGATATGAGGATATGAGCTCTATAGGCAATACGTTAGAAATCATTGGATTTACATTACAATTAAATTGCATTTGAGAGCATGTCTCGATCCTGAAAAGAAGAGTTTTGGAACACTATAAAAAAGAATAAAATACAGTAAAATTAATTAAAAAAGTAGGGAGACGATTAAATATAACCCTTCAAATTGTATGAACAATAACAAATAGTAATACTTATTTTGTAAGTTTAGAAGTTGAGGTTTTAAATAAGTCATTTTTATTAAAGGAAAATCCGAATTCAATTTTAAATTACGATAATAAATTGTTGAGTTAACTTTGACGTGCGAGGCTGGTCTTTATTGACAAACATGTACCACGATACAATTGTACACATTTGTAAACCATCTTAAAAAATTGGCATGCAAAAAATAGTAAAACTATGCATAGATTATTCTGTAAAAATCATAACAATCCAACCGACTCACCGAGCAGTTGCATTTTTCAACCCGCATCGACAGCGACGCTTAATAAGCGAGCGGCCGAATTAATTGGCTCGTAAAGCGGCGAATTTGACAAATGCGCCCCGTCGAAATTGCATGGGGGATGTATTATTATGTACTAAAACCCGGCGTTACGGGATTTATAGGGATGATAAGGCGTAAAACGAAGAAGGAAAGGTCCAGTGCATATTTATTCTGTGGCCAACATACGAGGGCGTTAGGCGGCCCATCTCTTGATTGGCTGTTTATCCCTTCATTATTCAATGTCAGTGCGTTTACCGTCTTGAATAATTTATCAGCTAAAACAGCTGTGAAGGTGAAAATTGGAGGTGTAGTCACAAGAAATAGATGTGGACTGCAGATTGAAATATAGTTGTAGTGACCTTTAATTATAATCATCTGTGGGTTTGAATGTGCGGGGACGGTGAATGTAGGTTAGATTATAACAACAGTATTTATTAATATTTCAAATTTATAGAATTCAATCCAGAAATATGTTTGAACAAGAGGCGTTGATAAATGAACTACTGTATATCTTCTGATTATGTTTTGGCTATTTAATGTTAGAGAAATTAAAATACATTCATGGCTAACGATGTCGGACGCTTTAGACGACCACTTATACGTGTAGTGGTTTAATCATAGGAATCTGTGTTTGCACTGATACCCGGAGGTTTAGGTTAAAAGGTCCATCAGGAGGTTTTGATTAGACCTCATAATTGCGAGATAGAAATATGGAAATTTACCCTTTCCTAATGAACCATCAGGATCTGCAAGCTCATGTCCGACTACGCTAATGTCGACTATGATGCCATTCGTGCTGTATGTATCATTGCATAAACTCAATGTTAGCCAAATAAATAACTTATTCAGGTGATCTCTAAACTTATTAGTATGTAGATACAGTTTTCTTTTTTAAACTAACCAAGCCAACGTATTATACAGTAAGTGGAATTTCAGAATTTGGTTTGAAAATCTTTATCCTTGATTTTATAGAAATAGTTGAATGAGCCACTCACCACAGAGTGCTTCTGCTGTCTAAATTATATTGTCCCCTTTAGTTTTTTTAGCGAATTTCCCATATAGGGAATAAGCTATTACCGTAGTACTCATGGTAAGACCTGGACCCGAGACCGATCTAATTTTTCATTTTGAGGTCCCTAGAGACCAAAAACACCATCCGTTCAAATTCATATATATATATATTCATATATATATTTATATATATATATATGTGTGTGTGTCCGTTAGCGCGATAACTTGAGCAAAAATGATCCGATTTTGATGAAATTTGGTACAAACGTGTAAACCTACGTTTATTCGAACGAGTTCGCGATCCAGCATAATCGGACCATGGGAACGGGGGATTATGGGGGGTTTTATGGGGTAAAAATGGGGTTTTCCCATTTTTGAACCTAAAAACAAAAAATTTTGCGATTTCTTTCTAAAACGTTTTGTAGAGCTTAAAAAAAGAAATAATTTAGTATATTGAAGCGCTGTTGTATGCCTAACGGTCATGGAGAAAATTCAAAAATTGTGTAATTAAAAATTCCCATGTTATTCTTATGGAGAAAATGAAAATTGTTGTTAGTTTACTTGTTTATGGGTATATATTGATCAAATTTGGCAAATTTATTTATTTCATCCTATACTATAGATGTATGGTCAAAAAACACTTTTTACCTTCCCCGTAGCAGCAAACCTAAGCACTTGTTAAATCTAATGTTATTTAAATAGGGAATAATATGTCTTATTTATGGAAATATTTTAGTAAAATAGTAATCAGACAAGTTGAAATTCGCTTAGTCTGCAGGTTTGCTGCGGCGGGGGTATTTACTATTAGTTTACAACAAGTTGACCAATAACCTTCGTCAGGTTATAAAGTTTGTTTATTCGACATACATCAGTCATCTAAACCAGCGCACTCTGTTACAGCTCAATCAAACTATTTCCACTTTTACAACACAACTTCCAGCACTTTTGTCATGGGAATGGGACGTCTACTTACACAAATAGTCAAAGATAAAACATACAAAGGACATTTAGACGCATTTCAACTACCTTTTCAAAAACCTGCAGCTCCTGTAGGATGACGAAGTTGAGGTAGATGTAGCGCGCGTCCTCTACGGACCTGGACCGCTGGAGGTCGAAGAAGGAAGGACCGCGGCCCAGGCGACGGCCCGGCCACGTGCGTCCCCCCGGCCTCAGGGGGATTTTGGGGGGGTCCAGGCCACTTGGGTCACCTCCCGTCCCCCATCACTAGGCACTCCGCGTCTTACGTATGTCTCTTCATCTTAGCACTATCCGAGTCACTAGGAGCACTTCTAGTTCTGGGTCCAAACAGTCTCTGTCGCGCACTCATTATGTCACAGAACACTCATTTTGCCACTACTTATTGGGGTTTAAACTAATCTTGTGGCTGGGTAATTTATTAGGTACTATTAAGTCTTTATTCAAACGGTCGAGTTTTACAATTTGTATGGAGCACTTAGCTGAAAAAATTATTTTATGAAAATATAGCAAATTATAATGATTTATGTATTTTTTTAAGTTAAAAACAAAGCGAAAACACTGCCCTATTATATAGTTTTCAATTCTTAAAAAAAACTGCACAGAATGTGCACCTTTCTCTACGAAACAAAGCGATGTGTCTATGTAATTATAGCACGATCAGTTAAGTTTTCAAGCTGAAGTGTATAGTACAACATACATAATCAGCACTGAAAAATTTACAGTATCATTACTGCTTAACTTGGCGGATGCAAACTGTAATTAAGTGAAAATGTTGACATTTAAACTGGCAATTTTAAACCATTTTTTGCATTGAAGCGGGATATTCTTTAATAATGTTTCGAATATTATATATTAATATTAAAAATCCTGTATGTGGTATTGAAACGTATATTCTTTACCACCACAACAACAAGTATAATTTGTAAGTTCATTTACCCCTATAATATTTGTTTATCATTGACTTAAATACTTTCTACAAAGTTTCACCCACAAACGCTTCATCACTGCCCGTAAAAACAAAGTGGTAATTCCCATCCATAATCAATAAACTCGCTAGTCTCCGAAGCTTTAAAGCTGGCAGATAAAGCAATGGCGGAAAGTTTGACACTTTCTCCGGAAGTAGCTTGATCCATATTAATACCGGAAGTGTAACTTAAAGATAACACCAGCTGATGGTTTCCATAACAACTTCATTAAAGTTTGATGAAACATTTTAACACCAGCTTAAAAATGCTCGTTTGAGTTTAGGTAACGTCTTTAGCAAAAATGTTATGTCAAGTACCCTACTCTACGGTTTGCGATACTTATATGGTACAGAGTAATAAACGGTATATAATATTAAGTTAAGTCTAATAACAATTTCTTTATTTTGATTCTCGATGTTTCAATGTATTACACGTAAATATTTTAATGACAAAAATATAACGTTTGAAACCTCTACAAACTATGTGTTTATGAAAGTTGCCTTCAGACATAACAATGTTGAACTTGCTCTTGAGTTGCATACCTAAGATCAAGAATGTTCTGAAATTCCTTTGTGACCACCATTTCAGCAACTCCCGTCTCTACTCAGACCTGATACAAGACGTCTTAGGGATTATAGAGAATTTTTAAACTACAATAATCGTGGTCGATTATTCGGAATAATTTCTGTTTATGCGGTTCCAGAAGAAAAAAACAAATATAATGATGTTTTTATTCGGTTCTAATATCACTAGGGCATTGTAGAGCATATAACAGTAGTATACGATTTTTAAATGACTGTAAAAATGAGAATTTAAGAAATGATTTCAAGTAAGTCTAAGATTTTCATCTTGACATTATATGAGAAAAAACAATGTTTCTGTATGATTTACAAAAACGCATTACATGCCCTCGCCCTTTAGTTCAATCGGTGGTTTAGATTTTTAATGTACTTGTACTAAATGTACTACTAACTGTACTATGTAATAACTGTGTACTATATATGTAGAACAAACTATTTTTAATATAATACGAAGAGTTTCAAATACGCTTACTTAAACATCCGCTCCATTGGTATAGCAGCACACGTTACTCAGGTATTTTGGTTGGACAAACATGAAAAGGAAGTTAATCGTGGAGAAGTTAAGAAGTAAAAGACAGTAAGATGCACCGGGCCGAGTCAACGGCTGTATCCCGACCAGTTAACCAGCTGATGGCACCAAACAGCTGGTGATAACAACAACCGCCCCCGTTATCACTGAATGACATCACATTACG